TTAATTATATAGATAAAGAATCCATAATCACTTTGGCTAAGTTAATTCCAGTAATTTCAACAACTTGTTCATTTAGAAATTCATTTCACTGGCTGAATCTTCAATCTTCCTTTTGTTTAAGTTTTTTTTTTCTTTTTTCCAGTCATCCTTTTTATAGTAAATAGTCATACTGCAATCAAGATGACATGTTGCACTTATTAATTTTTTCCTTTTTCTTTTTGGTACCAGAGGTCAAACTCAGAACCGTGTGCTTGTGAGGCAGGTGCGGCAACACTGAGCTAAATCCCCGGCCCTGGGATTATGTCCCTCTTTGAGGGATAAATGTCCCTCTTTGGCCTTGGAAGGATTCTTGTGCATAGCAGGCATCCAGTTTGTGTTTCCTCAGTGTTTTACTCACCCAACTTGGCACCATGCACCCTCTTCTGCTTCAGCCTGGGCCTCTCCAGGGTCCTGTGCCCAGCCAGGCCTGCCCACCTTCCCTCTCATGTGGCAGGTCATGTCTCACTTCCTCACACCTTCGCGCATGCTGTCCCCCCTTCAGCTGTCTGCTGCTGTGTCCCTCATTCAGAGAGACATTCTCTAACCCCTCACCCCACACCCCTGACTAAAACTGATCCTCATAGGACTGGATGTATGGAGCATTCCTTCACTGGAATCCAAGTCAGTCATTTAAAAGAATAAGATACATCTGTGTATCAATAAGGACAGAAGTTGCAGAATGGTGCTTATGCAGCATGATCACATTTGCAGATGCTTTTTAAATGATCTATGTGCTGTGATATGCATATGTTCTTTTAAATAAATGTGTAAGAAATTAAGAGATTACCTTTAGGGAAATGACAGGGTCCCATAGACAGAAGGGAAAATTTTCATATTAATCTTTTCTATAGCATTTGACTTGATTACACCTATAATTTTACTTTTACTTCAGAAAAAAATCAGGTCTCCCTGTTATTTTTTGTCATGGAATTTTCTAGTGTGTTTTTTGTTTTGTTGGTACCAGGGATCGAACTTGGGTCCTTGTGCATGCGAGGCAAGCAGTGGAACCACTGAGCTAAATCCCTGGCCCCCTAGTGTGTATTTTAGTTGGTAAGCAGGTTGTGTTTATAGCCTCCATCTGACTGGTCCTCCATGAAGACCAGGACCGTGTCTGTTTCTGAGAGTTGCTGTTATGGGTACCACCTTTCACACAGTAGGTACTCAGACCGCCCCCTCGAATGAATGAATGAACGGCCAAGCAGACAAATGGAGTTTCTCACAGTGTGGCTAACTGGGCACCATGTGGGGTAGAGAAGCAGCCTGAATGGCTTGTGCACCAGCTCCCAGAGAGGCAAGGAGAAAGCATAAGGCAGAAGGGCTCTTTGTGCAAGATCTGAGCTGGGGCCCTGTGACAGACACAGTGTGAGGACAGCACTGCCTGCTGTAGCACTGAACCAGCAGAATAGAGACTGACCCCAGGGCCTTCAGACCCTTGCCCACTGGCTCCCCTTGGCCTTCTATGGGGCTGTCAGGGTGCCCAGCCACCTCTCTGTCCTTGGGAGGAGTCTACATGGGTGGTGTGGTGGAGTCCCCAGCTTGTCTGACATGGGTGCACTTTCACCATCCTGTTCCATTTGGCCTCAAGGGGAGCAGGGAGTCAGGGCACACAGTGTGGGAGGGTCTTTGCTTGTGTATTATAGGAGTTGAGAGAAATAGCCAAGAACAGAAGATACTAAGTCTTAGGCAAAAATAAAAGGTACCCTGGCCGTGGGTGGTGTCTCACCCCTCCACTCTAGGAGGCAGTGTCCCGGAGCCATTTCACAGGTGAGGAGAAAGACAGGGTGGACCTGCCAACCTCACCGGAACAGAAGCCTGGCTCTGCCCATCTTTAACAGCTTTACCTCACACAAGCTGCTTAGTCTTGCCTCACCCTCATTCTCTTCTGAAAGGTGATTGTCATTGGGTGGCATTAAATGAGAAGAGGTAGAATAGTTTCTCGATGTGCTCAATACTATATTTTAAATGGATACAAAGATTGTTGAATATATTTTCTGTACTGAGCATAATGCTCATTATTTTACAAAGGTTATGACATTTGCTGCTTATAACAACCATCTGAGGAGGGTGTAAGGATGATTTGCATTTTACAGATGAAGAGACTGAGGTGTGGAGGAGATAAAATTGCACAACTGGAACGTGGCAGAGATAGAATCTGAAAACTGGCCATCCTGTGCTCACAGCCCCTGTACAGGAATCCTGCACACATATTTTAGTTACCTCATGACTATTAGTGTCCTTCAAGTAACAGCAGCACAGAGGAAAATGATTATAAGATTTTTACAATAGTGGTAGACAGGCTGGGATGTAGCCCGGTGGTAAGGCACTTGCCTAACTTGCTTGAGGCCCTGGGTACCACCCCAGCACCCCGTATCCCCCCACAGCCCAGTAAAAAGTGTCATAGCTTTTCAGATGTTCCAGAATTGAACTCTCCGTCCCTCTTACTGTCTTTGTTAAAACTGTGGCTTTGCATGTTGAACTTTGCCACCTGAATGAGACTGGGTAACCAGACACATTTGCAGCTTGGATCGATGTCTGAGCAGATGCAGAGCTGGATTGCTCCTGTGGGTAATTTTGTGAAGAAGCACATTTCTGAAATCCATTTCCTTTCTTTCTAGGTCTATATGTCGTACATATGGGGGCAGGGGCAAGATAGAGTAAAGGAAGGAAAGAGAAAAACTTCCCTGAAACATACTGTGTACACATGAGCAAACACTCATCGTGATTGCAGATCAGAAACTGCAAAATTGCGAAGTTCTTTGAAGTTTGCCCAAAACCCACTCCACGGCCACCTGTTCTGCTGGGGGCCGGGGATTGGATGGCCTGCCTCTGCTGCGATGGCTCAAGCTGTCACTGCCCTGGAACGTTCCAGCTTGCCGTGGCCTGGCTGTCATCGCTGGCTCTGTCCCACTCCGGCGGTTCACCATGTTCTTCTGGGCGCCAGGCTTCCAATTAAAGAGAAATCCCACTGTGTGGTCAGCCCCACCAGTGCCACTCTGAGCAGCCCCTTTGCCAAGGCCCGCGTTGACCTCTGATCTGTCAGCAGATGGGCCAGCCGCATACTCTTCTGTGCACATTTGGAGGAGGGGGATGGGGACCACGAGGGAAAGCCCGGGAGTAAGAGTGGACATTGGGCAGGAGTACGGCTTCTCTGAACGCGGAGGAGCTGGGCAGAGTTGACAGGACCCAAATGCTAAAGTTGTAGAGGGAAAGGGGAGTTGGGGAAAACCCCATCCCGCACCCTAAACTCAGCGTGGACATTTTCTTACCAAGTTCTGAATATTCATTTCAGGCTGGACTCCATGCCCAGGGAGAGCCAACAATGAGCAGCTAACTGGCTCACTCCGACACTGTCACATTGCCGGTGGCACATGGCGGAGCCAGCTTCTCCCTGTCCCTCTGCAGGGCCCGTGCCCTCTCACAGGCTGAGAGCCCCAGTCACTCTGGGCTTGGGGAGCGGGGGCCTTGTCAGCAGCCTGCACAATGGACTGTGTTAATCACTCTGAATTTCTGTTAGCATAAGAAATAGAATCTTGGGCAATTCTATCTCCAATTCCCTACCAGGACAGGGAGATGTAATCTAAGCTTTGAGAAGTTTCTTTCTGGATATAAGACTTGTTGAAAGTGGTTATTTTAGGGGTGGTTTATGCATCTCTTCTTTATTTCTCCTTTCAGCAGTGTCTTTTTATTTGTATCCCTTTTCACTACTTTCTTTCTCTGTCTCTCTGTTTATTCTCTCCCCCACCCTCCCTCTGTCTGCCTTCCTCTCTCTTTCCCTCCCCCTCCCTCCAGGTACAGCATCTTTGAGTCATGTGTGAGTTGGAAGTAATAATAAAGATACCAGGCTCAGAACTGACATTTACATACTCTGGCTTAGCTTGACTAGAGCAGTTGCGGTCTAAATAGCGAACAGCTTGAAAGAGGCAAGGGTCTTCCCAGCTGTTCTTAGAATGATTTTGTCCCTCTTTTAGAAACAAAATTGAATTCAGTCCATGGAACAGAAACCAAGGGTTTTCTCACTAGACTCTTCTCTGACGTGTTTGTAGTTGGTTTGAGAATCCCAGGATTGTCTCACCCTGTGCAGCCTTTTTTCCTGTCCTACTTCTTTTTGTTTTCCTTTGTTCCCTTTGGTCAAAACAAAACCCCTCAATCAAATATCCCTGTGCGGGGTTAGTTTGTCCCCATGAGAAGGTGGACAATTTTTGGTGACTTAGGGTGTAGCAGTCAAGTGATGTTCTGCCTGTCTTTCAGTTTCCACGTTTGCACGATGTTAGACTGGTGGAAGGAATGGCCACGTGTCTGCACATAGCCTGTAATCATCTCTGGAGAGGTCAGGGAAGGAAAAGCTCCGTGAGACAGCAAGGGAAGTGTGCCCAATAGGGTTGGCAGCGCCTGACCCTGAGACGATGTTGAGGAGCTGGGTTACATCATCAGGTGTAAAATGCCTTTCAGGTGCTGGCTAAGCACTGCACCTAGGACTGTGTCATGAGCAGGCAGTACTCATAAGGACATCCGATTTGTGACCCTGCACATTTGCAGTTCTGTCTCTGACTGCGCCAGTCTCATTCATCAGTGCCTCTTCCTTTTTGCTCCAGTGCTGGGGGTGGGGGAATCTCATCTCCTTACATCTCTCCTTGGAGACGCAATCCATGGCTCCTGACCTGGCATGTGCATCGGCGTCGGTGAGGAAATCTTAGTGCCCCCAGGAGCTTCTCCTGACTCAGCAGGTTCTGGTTAAGGCCTGTGGTTCTGAAAATACTGGAGCTCCAGCTTGAATTGTTATGTTCACCCCTGCTTTGGTACCACTGCCCTGCACCAGAAGCTCCTGGAGGCCAGAGACCGAGTGTCCATTCAAACCCAGCGCACAGCCCCTCAGCTGATGTATGGAAGGTGAATAAGTAACGCTGGAGAAGAAGCAGGGTCCCTATCCGTGCTGCAGACAAGGATATCACCTCTCTTTGCAGATATTCCCATCATTCCTGATCTGGAAGAAGTACAGGAAGAAGACTTTGTTTTGCAGGTGGCATCCCCTCCCAGGTAGGTTAAGTTAAGTAAGAAGTTGGCAAAGGAAGCAGAAACATCGGAATCGGTCCACTCCAGATACCATCTACAGTGGTCCCTTGCTGCACACCACCTCCACCATGTAGACCCAGTGATAGGCTCCCCCACAGGTGCCCCATTTTGTTTAGACATTTTATTCCCTCTCTGGTCCTCTCCAGCTGCGTACAGGCTCTGGGGACAGTGGCCCTGCAGCACTTCTGGACCCCGTGCTGCCTGTGCTTTCTCCTCACACACTCTTTCTTCAGTGTCCAGGTAAACCGAGTGATGACCTACCGTGACCTGGACAATGACCTCATGAAGTACTCGGCCTTTCAGACCTTGGTGAGTGAAGTGGCTTCTGCATAGAGCAGGGGCTCCAAGCAACGTCCATCGTGAGATTTCTCAGTTCCTCCAGGGTCACACAGCAGCTTCTCCACGGTCTTGGGGCTGCCCAGCAACCCCGCCCTTGCTGGAGGCATCATCCTGGATATCTCACAACATCCTGCACCCCCACAGTCCAGCCTTTCCCCTGCAGGGCTCCCACATGCTCCAGGTCTGCATACGTGGTACCTCAGTGGCACCCCGATGTCCTCTGCCCCTGTGGCTGTGTTCTGCCCTTCGGTGTCGCCCTTTGCCCGGTGTGGAGAGCATCATAGCCTTCTCTCCTGTCAGTGGCCACGTGGTCTGCTCAAAGTTCTACTCTTTGATCAAGCCTGTCTGAGGGTCTCGGTTTGGAGAGTTCTAACACACATACAAACTCCTCCTTGCAAAAGAGCTAGTTAGCATCAGCCCCGGAGATACCCAGTTTGCCTTTTGTGCATTCACAGGATGGCGAGATCGACCTGAAACTCCTCACCAAAGTGCTGGCTCCAGAGCACGAAGTGCGAGAGGTACAGTAGCAGCAGCAGCAGCAGCAGCAGCTGTCCCAGCTCAGCGCATCCTTCCAGGAGCCAGCAGGCTCCACAGGCTTGGCCGCCCCTCCCCGGGGCCCACATGGCTTGGGAAGGTGGTTATAATCGGGGCAAAGGAGGTCTGTTCTCTTATCCAGTGATACCCCTCTTGGCAGGAGGATGTCGGCTGGGATTGGGACCATCTGTACACGGAGGTGTCCTCAGAGCTCCTCGGTGAGTGGGACCTGCTACAGACAGAGAAGGAAGACCCCGCCGGGCCTCTCAGGCAGACCTGAGCCATAGCCTGCACTTGGACTTGAGCAAATGCAGTAAGCCTAAAATCACCCAGGCTTGCAAGCACCTTAATGTTTTTGTATGGAATAGTTTGTGATAAAAATGTTTATTTCCAGTTGACCACATTGGGTCAGTCGAATGCATTAAATGACTTTATTCTGTGGCACCTCTTCCGTTTCTTTCCAGCACTGCCAGGGAGGACAACTTTGAAACAATCTGGTGAGAGCTGTATGGGGCCGAAGAGCTTGGGGGAGAGTTGCTGTGGGGAGTAAGCACCCCACTCGAACTTGTCACTTCTCACAAGGCCAGGACAGCTCCCTGGACCATGGGACCCGGAGGCAGCTGGAGATAGGGATGGGGGAGGTGCAGACAGCCCAGCGTGATGCCGACTGGCCCTGGCCCTTCGGTGCCATTGGTGGTTAGTGAAGCTGCACGATCATCTCCAGGAGCAAGCAGTGGGTGTGCTGAGGTGGCACACGGGTCATTTGCTTCAGAGCGGGGGCTATTGAACAGCACCCTCATTCCTTTGTGTGGGCCACAGGTTCCCAGAGCCTTGGAAGAGCCCAGCCCAGCAGCCCTCAGGATCCCACAGGAACAGCTGGATTCTTGCTGTCGGGAGCCACTGGCCTTCTGCACTGCTCCCCACATCAGGACTCCTTCTCTACAGTGTGTTCAGACGGGAGCAGAGCCCACTCCTGTGCTGAAGCTGCCATCTCTTGTTTTTGTTTTTCTCTTTCTCTCCCCCAGGCCTCTCATCTGAGGACAGGGACCTTTCCCTGCCACCTCTCGGCCTCTGCGTTGGCTCAGACCCATGCAGACTGGCCGCAGCTAGCAAAGGGCCACCGCTTGGCCATGGGGAGCTTCTCTCCTCCTGCCTGGAAAGTCCTTCATTAAAATTCAGAAAAACAAAAAGAGGCTCAACACATCAAAAACCCACTGGGGGGTTATTTTTGTGTGACTACAGTGCCCTTCCCTAGTGAGCCACATGGCTCCAGAACAGGCAGAGCAAGTGCTTGTCTGCTAATTATAAACTCAGGGATTTAGTGGCTTTGGGGTCCCGTTTCCTCCTTTTCCAGAGTTGTACTGTTAGCCCAGACAGGCCCTCTTTGGAATAAATCCCATGGATACTGAGAAGTTTCCATCTAGGCTGATTTTTATTGTGCCTACACTATTCTGAAACCCAAAGGAGAAAGGCTATATTTCTCATCTCGTAATTACTGGCAAATACCACTGACTTAGGACTCTGATAACCTTGAAGATCTTCAGCCAGCCTGAGCAAGTGGCTAGGGGTTGTCTCCTTCCTCCCTTTCTTTGATAACAGCAGCAGCAAGATCTACCTTGTATCAAGCTCTCACTCTGTATGCCAAGCTGTATGCCACTGGGCTCAGTGCACAGGAAACTATCCATCCTCACATCCACGCAGTGAAGCAGGTTCTGTGGAATCCCATTTGGCAGATGAGGAAACTGAGGCACAGAGAGGGAAAGAGATAGCCCAACATCTTCCAGTACTGAGCTGCAGAGCTGGAATTCAAAACCACATTGCTTTGGCCCACTGTACTTTTACATCTGCTTTTGTTCACCCTCTGCTACCTTCAGCTTGGAAAAGAAATGTGGCTTAGAATGGGCAAAATCAGAAGTTCTCCAGGAGAAACCGTGCCACAGTTTGCCCCACACCACGTGTCCAGCGTCATCTCTGGGGTGACCACAGGCCTGTGGGGTGAAGCCTGTCACATGGCTGGGAAGCCCGGCACCAGGAAGTAGATGTAAAGCCAGGGACCTGGGAAGCCACAGTTCTGAGTTGAGGGAGCAGAGCCTGGACAAGTCAGGTTCAGGCCACGTATGTCCCCTGTGCTGTGCCCTGGCTATGCCCCGGGTTGGCTGCTTCCTTTACCCAGATCTTGAACACTTCTCAGAGTGCCTGACAATGAGATTTTCCAGAATCTACATCTACCCAGTTCTTCTCCTAAGATCCCTTCTTTATGTCACAACCAACAGTGCCACATTTCCCAGACTCCAGAGGGACTGCCCCAAAAGATCACCTGAGAGGGCAAGACAGAAAAGCATCCACAGTACCAGCGCTGTGGTTTTCAGAGAGACATGGGGGAGACACAAAGTGAGTCATGGTGCTCCTTCCCCCATGCAGCCCTTGACTGGCACCTTTTCTGTTTCTCCCAGCCCAGCTCCTTTCACCCCTGATCGGGCATGACTAATTCCTGCTGGTGTCTTTGGCACTGCTAGTAGCTGCAAAGATGCTGTTCACAGGCAACACTCAGTGGGGAAATTCGTTCCTTTGTGCAAGTTTATTGCCACCTGCCAAGTTCTGTTAAAGGCCCTGCTGATGGAGAACCAGGCTGAGAGGTCTCCCTTCCCTTACAGAGCTTACATTCTGTGGGGGAGACGGACAGAGGAAAACTCAGTGCCTCAGAGGGTAATGGATTTCATGAAGCAATATATAGCAGAAGCAGGAAAAGCTGTGCTGGAGCCCAGGGTGGCAGTTTAAGATGGGGGTGGTCAGAGAAGCCTCATCAAGACAGTGACATTTGCCAAAGACCTAAAGAAGGTGATGGAGCAAGGCCGGTGTCCTGTGTCCCGTGTAGAAATTGGTACTTGCTAAGGTGGGGGCAGGTGTGGGTCTGTCCTGTGTGAGGAGCAGGTCAGGCTGCCTGTGGGGAGGCAGGGGACAAGGGGAGAGGAGATTCTCTGCCTCACTGTGCCCTAGACCGGGCTTGTCACAGGCTGAGGAGCCTGTGAGTGTGGCTGGAGTCCCCCCTCCTGTGATGGAGGCATCTCAGGCTTCTCAAGCAGCCCTAGGAAAACTTTATACAAGCAACTGCATGGCGTCCTCATGCCTCAACCTAGAGAAACAGAACAGTTAATGCTGCACTGAGGGAGAGGGTATAGTAAACTCATCTGTCATACCAGAGGTCAGGAAGTGGCTGCCAGCTCTCTGCCCGCCAGATGTGCCCGGAGTGACACTATAAGGCCCCTGCACGGGACTCTGCTCCCTTGACACTTGCAGCTCTGGATGGAGAGCCCAAGTGAGGCGCTCATCTGTACAGGCCTGCAACTGAGCCTAAGGTCACCTCTATCCTGGATGGTTGGCTCACTTTTGCTGAACCCTGGGATACTCCAGATGGGCTTTTGTAAGTACGTGCTCCAGGGAGAAGCTGATGCTGTCACCCATTCCGTGTGACTTGGCCAAAATGCGTTGCTTTTATGAACCAAGGCCTCTGCCCAGTGTTTGGAGGGCTTCTGGGCACATAGGTGCTGGAGATCAATGCGTGAGTCCATGTTTGCTACAGTGGACTATGGAAGCTTAGCACCCTTGCTCTGCATGTTCGGTGGTACCATGCTTTCCTCCTTGAGACCAAGGATCTGGTGGGGCAGAGGGCAGGTAGAAGGAGTGGATAGCAAATAACTTGGCAAAGAGCATGGATTCTGGAATTGGGTGGGATAGGGTCTAGTCCCATCTCTGCCCCCAGTAGCTGTGGGCCCTTGAGTGGGTTGCTTTCTCTTTCTGATCCTGTTTTTTATTAATCTAGAAAATGGAATAATGCTACTGTAGTCCTCTTAGAATTCCGGTGTCTACTGAAAGCTGGCTGCTGCTACTATTGGATGTTAGGACTGAATGGCACTGAAAAGTGAAGCTGAGTCACTTTAGATGTTCTATGGCGATAGCGCCTATGTTTTTTGTTTGTTTGCTTGTTTTGTTTTGGGTACTGGAGATCGAATTTGGGACCTTGCACTTGCGAGACAGGTGGCGGCACCACTGAGCTAAATCCCTGGCCCCGTGCCTATGTTTTGCCAGGGGCCACCACCTTCATTTCCCCTCCTGCAATATCTCTCAGCCCTGCAGAGAAGAGTGGCTTGTACCAGGTTTTGTTTCGTCCCTGCTAACAGCTTTATTGAGATACACTTTGCATAGCATAAAATTCTGAGAGTATAATTGGAAGTGTGCTATTCAGTATCAATTTTGGTAAATGTAGGGAGCTGTACACATTACCGCAATGCTGCTGTTGAACCTTGTCACCATCCACAACATTTTCTGTGTCCGTTTACAGTTCATTACAGTTCATCCCTGCTCCCATCCCTGCCCCTAGGCAGCCACCGATCTGTTTTCTGTTCCCCTGAAAGTTCCATTTCTGGATACTCCCTACAAGTGAACTTATATAGTGCGTAGTCTTTCAAATCTGGCAGGTTTTCCATGCAAGTTTTCAAGGTTCATCCATGTTGTAACATTTATCAGTAGCTCTTGGTATTGCTAAGTGGCGTTTCCTGTGTGGATCTTTTGTTTAACTGTCAGTCAGCCTGTGGACATTCAGGTGGCCTCCAGCTTGGAACTCTTATGAAGAGTGCTGCTGTAGACCTCTGTGTGGTTAGATGCTGTCATTCTCTTCGGCAGATTCCTAGCAGTGAAATGGCTGGATTATATGATGGTATGTTTATGTTTAACTTCTTTAAATTTTTATTTTATTTTATTTATTTATTTTTGGTACCAGGGATTGAACTCGGCTCCTTGCACTTACAGGGCAGGCAGCGTCACCACTGAGCTAAATCTCCTGGCCCTGTGTTTAACTTTTAAAAAGATACTGCTAAACTGTTTTCCAGCGTGTTGTTTGTTTCAGTGCTCTGGGATATCAGGATTAATTAAGCCCTTTACCTCCAGAGGCTCACAAGTTAGTACAGTGGAGGAAGGGACAGAAGCTTTCTGTATGAGTGCGAGAGCCCAGAGGATACACTGCAAAATGCAGATGAAAGGAGACACAGAGCCTCATATGTATCCAAGAACTTCCAAAGATGGGGTTGATTTGCTCAGAGCAAGGGTCAGTAAACTACAGCCCATTGGCCAAATCCAGGCCACCGTTCACTTAGGAAGTTTCATAGGCATGCAGCCTCACTCGTCAGTTTACCTGTGCTCTATGGCTGCTTTCATGTTGAATGAGCAGAATTTAGATGCAGTTGCAGCACAGACCATCTGCCTGAAAAGTCCAAATTATATACAATCTCCTCTTCTCCAGAAAAAAGATTGCCAACCTCTTCTAAAAGGAAAGAATGAAAATGAGAAAAATAACAATATATGTATGTTCCTAAAGTTTGGCTGCTTATTTCTATCCAGAAAATGCATTGTAGCCAGAAGGATTTGAGTTAGATATAAAGAAAGA